GAAAGGAGACCGACTTCTGAAAAAACAGACATTTCTCTGCCTTGACATATAGGTCATGCTCCAACAGCCTCCGCAATACTCGGCGCACCAGGGCTACATGCTCAGCACGGGTAGGACTATACACCAGGATGTCGTCGATGTACACAACCACTCCCTGTCCCTGCATGTCCCGGAAAATCTCATCAACGAAGGATTGGAAGACTGAGGGAGCATTCATCAACCCATATGGCATGACTAGATACTCGTAGTGCCCGGAAGTCGTGCTAAACGCTGTCTTCCATTCATCGCCCTTACGGATGCGCACCAAGTTATATGCGCTCCTAAGATCCAATTTTGTAAAGAACTGCGCACCGTGCAGTGACTCCGTCATAGTCGCAATCAGAGGAAGTGGATAGCTGTACTTCACTGTGATCTGATTGAGACCGCGGTAATCAATACACGGCCGCAGACCTCCATCCTTCTTCTTCACAAAAAAGAAACTTGAGGAAACGGGTGAAACGGAGGGCCGTATGTATCCCTGTCTAAGAGACTCAGAGATGTATGTCTCCATAGATTTCTTCTCCTCTTGAGACAAGGGATACACATGGCTCCGCGGGAGAGCTGCGCCTGACTGGAGATCTATCGCACAATCCCCCCGTCTATGAGGCGGCAGCTGCGCAGCCCTAGTCTTACTGAACGCCAATGCCAAATCCTCATACTCGGGGGGAATCTGCAGTGCTGGCATTAGATTCGGACTCTCCACCGAGGTCGCCCCTATGGAAACACCCAGACACCGCCCCTCACATTGAGCAGACCACCCTTTAAGAGCTTTCTCTCGCCACCCAATAATAGGGTCATGAGTCATCAACCAGGGAAGACCCAGCACCACCGGATACGCAGGAGAGTCAATCAGATAAAGCTGAATTCTCTCCTCATGACCCTCCTGCGCCATCATCTGAAGTGGTGCTGTGACCTCCCTAATCAACCCAGACCCTAACGGACGGCTATCTAGGGCATGGACGGGGAAAGGCTTATCCACTGGAAGAAGGGGAATCCCTAACTCTAAACAGAACTGGCGATCTATAAAATTCCCAGCTGCGCCTGAATCTACCAGCGCCTTATGCTGGGAACGAGGTGCAACCTGTGGGAAACAAACAGGCAAGGTTAGGTGCACGACAGAAAGCTCTGGGTAAGCAGGGCGCCTACTCACCTGGGGGGACCCCCCAATGCTAGACCTGCCATCTCCTCCCCTGGAGGACCCGCCCCAGCACCTAGCCGCAGTGTGCCCTCCACGACCACAGTTGGTGCAAGGACCGGGTCCCCGTGGGCTCCCCCTCCTCCTTTCCCTAGCGCCAGCACCCCCGAGCTCCATAGGACTCGGCTCGGAGGCGCTGGAGAGTGGAATGGGCGAACCCCCCCCTCCGGGACGCCCACGGGTGGCGAGCAGGGTATCCAGCCGGATGGCCATGTCGACCAGTTGGTCGAAAGTTAACGACGTGTCCCTGCACGCCAACTCTCGCTGGACGTCCTCAAGGAGGCTGCAGCGGAAATGGTCAATATGGGCCCGCTCATTCCACCCTGCATCAGCCGCTAGGGTCCGGAACTCTAAGGCAAAGTCCTGTGCGCTCCTCATCCCCTGTCGGAGGTAGAACAGACGTTCCCCCGCCGCCTTCCCTTCTGGTGGATGGTCGAATACAGCACGGAAGCGGCGGGAGAACTCCGCATAGTTCGTGGTTGCGGCGTCCATTCTCCTCCACTCGGCGTTGGCCCACTCCAACGCCTTGCCGGTGAGACAGGAGATGAGGGCTGAGACGCTCTCGTGTCCCGAGGGCGCCGGGTGTACGGTGGCGAGGTAGAGCTCCACCTGCAGCAGGAACCCTTGACACCCGGCGGTGGAGCCGTCGTACGCCCTCGGGAGCGAGAGCCGAATCCCACTGGGTTCCGGAGATGAAACCGGAGGGCTGACCGCTGGAGCTGGGTCGGTGGTTGGAGGTGCGGGCACCCCGCTGGTCTCCCATCGGTGTAGAGTGTTCATCACCCTCTCCAGGGCGTGACAGACCTGGTTCATTCGGTCCTCCTGACCACGAAGACGTTCGTCCATATCGGCGGTCGGCGCGGTCGCTCCTGCTGATTCCATTAGGATGCGTAATTCTGTCAGAGTGGTGTAGGTGGATGATAGGAATCAGGCGCAGGAAACCAGGAGGACGTCAACAGAACTTTACTTAGTCCAAACAACAGTATACGTCGCCAACCCAACCGGGTGGCGCGAACAATTACGCACGAAAATACACAGTGCGAGAAAATAAGGAAAAGCGCACACAGTGCGAGCTCTCGGAATAACACAACGAGAGAACAAACTCGATGAGGCAGGCTGACAACAACAATTACGCATAACACCTGACCCAAACCAACAAACTAAATAAGGGGAACAATCAAGACACAAATAAGGGACAGGTGTTATGAACAGACAAAACCAAAAGAACAAGAAACATCGAACGGTGGCAGCTAGTACTCCGGAGACGACGACCGCCGAAGTCCGCCCGAACAAGGAAGAGGAGCAGCCTCGGCCGAAACCGTGACAAGAACACCTACTCATTTAAGGGTTTTTCTTTATTTTTACTATTTTCTACATTGTGGAATAATAGTGAAGACATCAACACTATGAAATAACACATATGGAATCATGTAGTAACCAAAACAGTGTTAAACAAATCAAATATATATTTTAGCTTTTAGATTCTTCAAATAGCCACCTTTGCCTTGACGACAGCTTTGCACACTCTTGGCATTCTCTCATTCACCTTCACCTGGAATGCTTTTCCAACAGTCTTGAAGGAGTTCTCACATATGCTGAGCACTTGTTGGCTGCTTTTCCTTCGCTCTGCGATCCGACTCATCCCAAACCATCTCAATTGGGTTGAGGTCAGGGGATTGTGGAGCCCAGGTCATCTGATGCAGCACTCCATCACTCTCCTCCTTGGTAAAATAGTCCTTACACAGCTTGGAGGTGTGTTTGGTCATTGTCCTGTTGAAAAAAAAATGATAGTCCCACTAAGCCAAACCAGATGGGATGGCGTATCGCTGTAGAATGCTGTGGTAGACATGCTGGTTAAATGAATTCTAGATAAATCACAGACAGTGTCACCAGTAAAGCACCCCCACACCATAACACCTCCTCCTCCATGCTTTACGGTGGGAAATACACATGCGGAGATCATCCGTTCACCCACACCACGTCTTACAAAGAAATGGCGGTTGGAACCAAAAATCTCAAATTTGGACTCCAGACCAAAGGACATTTCCACCGGTCTAATGTCCATTGCTTGTGTTTCTTGGCCCAAGCAAGTCGCTTCTTATTATTGGTGTCCTTTAGTAGTCTTTCTTTGCAGCAATTCGACCATGAAGGCCTGATTCACGCAGTCTCCTCTGAACAGTTGATGTTGAGATGTGTCTGTTACTTGAACTTTGTGAAGCATTTGGCCTGCAATTTCTGAGGCTGGTAACTCTAATGAACTTATCGTCTGCAGCAGAGGTAACTCTGGGTCTTCCTTTCCTGTGGTGGTCCTCATGAGAGCCAGTTTCATCATAGCGCTTGATGGTTTTTGCAACTGAACTTGAGGAAACTTTCAAAGTTCTTGAAATGTTCCGTATTGACTGAACTTCGTGTCTTAAAGTAATAATGGACTGTCATTTCTCTTTGCTTATTTGAGCTGTTCTTGCCATAATATGGACTTAGTCTTTTACCAAATAGGGCTATCTTCTGTATACCTTGTCACACACAACTGATTGGCTCAAATGCATTAAGAAGGAAAGAAATTCCACAAATTAACTTTTAACAAGCCTATTTGAAGATTACTTATGTAAATGTGATATTTCCTTTATTTTATTTGATAAATTAGCAAAAAAATATAAAAACCAATTTTTGATTTGTCATTATGGGGTCTTGTGTGTAGATTGATGAGGGAAAAAAACAATTTAATTAATTTTAGAATAAGGCTGTAACCTAGCAAAATGTGGAAAAAGTCAAGGGGTCTGAATACTTTCCGAACGCACTGTATATACAGTACCAGTCAAAAGTTTGGACACACCTACTCATTGAAAGGTTTTTCTTTATATTTACTATTTTCTACATTGTAGAATAATAGAGAAGACATCACAACTATGGAAGAACACATATTGAATCATGTAGTAACCAAAAAAGTGTTAAACAAATCAAAATATATGTTATATTTGAGATTCTTCAAATAGCCACCCTTTGCCTTGATGACAGCTTTGCATACTCTTGGCATTCTCTCAACCAGCTTCATGAGGTAGTCAACTGGAATGCATTTCAATTAACAGGCGAGCCTTGTTAAAAGTTAATTTGTGGAATTTCTTTCCTTGAGCTAATCAGTTGTGTTGTGACGAGGGGTGGTATACAGAAGATAGCCCTATTTGGTAAAATACCAAGAACAGCTCAAATAAGCAAAGAGAAACGACAGTCCATCATTACTTTGTTACATGAATTCAGTGAATACGGAAAAAGTCAAGAACTTTGAAAGTTTCTTCAAGTGCAGTTGCGAAAACCATCAAGCACTATGATGAAACTGGCTCTCATGAGGACCGCCACAGGAAAGGAAGACCCAGAGTTACCTCTGCTGCAGAGGATAAGTTCATTAGAGTTACTAGCCTCAGAAATTGCAGGCCAAATAAATGCTTCACAGAGTTCAAGTAACAGACACATCTCAACATTAACTGTTCAGAGGAGGCTGCGTGAATCAGGCCTTCATGGTCGAATTGCCGCAAAGAAACCACTATGTGTGTTATTTCATAGTTTTGATGTCTTCACTATTATTCCACAATGTAGAAAATAGTAAAAATAAAGAAAACCCTTGAATGAGTAGGTGTGTCCAAATTTTGACTGGTACTGTATATGAAGTGGGTAAAACAGTATGTAAACATTATTAAAGTGATAACGCCAGATGGGGTGATGCAACTTTGCACCATAATCACTCTCTACCTGTATCTGCCTGGCCTAAATAATGGTGGGTAGCAAACATATCTGTCTTCCAGTAAAATGATATGATTTCCTCGGTCGAAGTCCACTTTCAAGACTGTATCATGCTTCTACTGTGTGTATGACCAACAATAGTACCGTGAACACTACAGAAGCAGGTGAGAGCTACACAGGTAAGTCACTTTTTTCTGTTTAGGAGGTAAATTCTGGGTATTTTCACATATTTAATAGTTATAGATGCTGTATATTATGAGATACTAATATACTGTAGACAATAAGGTCAAACCTCGAACCAAAAGTTGTATCTACTCAATGTTAATAATTCATTGTCTTATAAATAACTGTCACAAACTTACAGGATATACATTGTTTAATGACTATTTCTTACATTTGAGACATTGAGTCAAAATGACTGAAAACTATGACATTAAAACCCACCTCAATCAAAACAAAGCAAGTGCACCTACAGTGTCACGCCCTGACTCAAGGGACGTTTATTTGTTGAATTCCGTGTTGTGTTTGTTCATTGTTATAGAATCTATGATGTGTAGATCTATGTTGGCCGGGGTGGTTCCCAATCAGAGGCAGCTGTAGCTCGTTGTCTCTGATTGGGGACCATACTTAGGCAGCCTTTTGGCATGAGTTTGTTGTGGGATCTTGTTCCGTGTAAGGTATGTTGTTTGTATGCTACCTTGGACTTCACATTTCGTTTGTTGTTTAGTCGTTAATAAATATGAATGCATATCACGCTGCGCCTTGGTCATTCTCGTTTGTAAACGATCGTGACATACAGTTACAGTATTATACCTGAAAATGTTTTGAATCTAAGAGTTCTGTGAAATGATTGATCACATTGCATGAGGTTGATGTTGGTTCAATACATTTATTTTGAGTTACAAGGAAACAATTGGAAAATTCCAGTAACATATAATCACCCTAAGGAAGTCTTTGGAACTGACCCTTGATCCTATAAACACTGGCAGACATCTTGACTGCATGGCTCCATTGTTATTGTTCTTGTGAAATAGTACATCTCTATCTCAATCTCTCTCGCTCTCTCTCTCTTTCTCTCTGTCCTTATCCTTTCTCAATGTCTCCATTACTACCCTGTTTATCTCCCTCCCTCCCTCCCTCCCTCCATCCTCTTCATAGACCATAATGCAGCAGCCTAACGACAACAGCCGGTCTCCTAAGGTGAAGGAGAAGGACCCTCACCAGAGGTTGGAGGACAGAGGCTCAGAACCCTGCAACAAGCCCAACCTCAGTCACAAGCAGGTGAGTGTCTATGGTTGTCTTATATGACACAATGACACCATATGTCTACGGCTGTCTCACGACACCCTATTCCCTATATAGTGCACTACTTTTGACTAGAGCCCACCCCTTTCCATTTAGTGCACTACTTGTGACCAGAGCTACATTGTGACAAGACCCGCTTTGCAGTGAACACTAGCATTTGACAGTTTAATAAGCCTACTCGTGTGTGGATGCATTCTGTGTTTTATAACCCTGTCTTTATTCCCACTTATGGTGATACAGGACAAGCGCCTGGAGACTGTGGAGGCTACCCACTCAGAACCCTGGAATAAACCACATCTCAGCAACAGCAAGGTGAGTTCGGTTCCAACCATTAAACCACTAGCCACTCCATCTTTAGGCCAGGGACTTTGTCCCAAGACTGTTGAATCACCTTTTAACTTTCTACATACAGTATAGGTTTTGAATCTAGGATGCTGGGCAATCCTATAGCAAATCAGGGCACATCATATTAATTAGATTATGACTGGGCTGGGCACCACCATAAATGTACATTTTGCTACAGTCCACTATTTTGGATCCATCTGTAATTTGTGTCCTGTATGTACCACTTCTACAGGGGAGGGACTTTGAGAAATGGAATGCCGGCCATTCAGAACCCTGGAACAGGCCTCATTTCAACAACAGCAAAGTGGGTTCTATGGAGAAAAAATATTTCAGTGAGAGGATGATATTGTAGGTGGTGTGTTATATTAACCTACCTGGGGTGGTGTGTTATATTAACCTACCTGGGTTGTGTGTTATATTAACCTACCTGGGGTGGTATGTTATATTAACCTACCTGGGGTGGTGTGTTATATTAACCTACCTGGGGTGGTGTGTTATATTAACCTACCTGGGTTGTGTGTGTTATATCAACCTACCTGGGTTGTGTGTGTTTTGCTCACAGCCTGGCCTAGCACAGATGCAAACATTCCAGGAGTGTCTACAGCTCATCACAGAGCTAGCCGAGGACGTGAAGAACATCAGTAAAGTACAGTGGCTTGATACACTACTATTATACACTACAGCGGCAAGCGAAAGTATTCACCCTCCTTGGCATTTTTCCTATTTCGTTGCCTTTCAACCTCGAATTAAAATGGATTTTGGGGGGGTTTTGAAGATGCAAAATAATTTGTTTTGTGAAACAAACAAGAAATAATACAAAAAAACTGAAAACTTGAGCGTGCATAACTATTCACCCCCAAAAGTCAATACTTTGTAGAGCCACCTTTTGCAGCAATTACAGCTGCAAGTCTCTTGGAGTATGTCTCTATAAGCTTGGCACATCTAGCCACTGGGATTTTTGCCCATTCTTCAAGGCAAAACTGCTCCAGCTCCTTCAAGTTGGATGGGTTCCACTGGTGTACAGCAATCTTTAAGTCATACCACAGATTCTCAATTGGATTGAGGTCTGGGCTCTGACTAGGCAATTCCAAGACATTTAATTGTTTCCCCTTCAACCACTCAAGTGTTGCTTTAGCAGTATGCTTAGGGTCATTGTCCTGCTGGAAGGTGAACCTCCGTCCCAGTCTCAAATCTCTGGAAGACTGAAACAGGTTTCCCTCAAGAATTTCCCTGTATTTAACGCCATCCATCATTCCTTCAATTCTGACCAATTTCCCAGTCCCTGCCGATGAAAACCATCCCCACAGCATGATGCTGCCACCACCATGCTTCACTGTGGGGATGGCGTTCTCGTGGTGATGAGAGGTGTTGGGTTGTAACACAGACATAGTGTTTTCCTTGATGGCCAAAAAGCAAAATTTTTGTCTCATCTGACCAGAGTACCTTCTTCCATATGCTTGGGGAGCCTCTCAACTTTTTTATAATGTTTTTAATGGTGCTCCGTGGGATGTTCAAAGTTTCTAATATCTTTTTATAACCCAAACCTGATCTGTACTTCTCCACAAGTTTGTCCCTGACCTGTTTGAAGAGCTCCTTGGTATTCATGGTGCCGCTTGCTTGGTGGTGCCCTTTGCTTAGTGGTGTTGCAGACTCTGGGGCCTTTCAGAACAGGTGTATATATACTGAGATCATGTGACAGATCATGTGACACTTAGATTGCACACAGTTGGACTTTATTTAACTAATTATGTGACTTCTGAAGGTAATTGGTTGCACCAGATCTTATGTAGGGGCTTTATAGCAAAGGGTGTGAATACATATGCACCTTTCTGTTATTTATTTTTTATAATTTTTTGAAACAAGTAATTTTTTTCATTTCACTTCACCAATTTCGACTATTATGTGTATGTCCATTACATGAAATAAAAATCAAAATCCATTTAAATGCCAGGTTGTAATGCAACAAAATAGGAAAAACGCCAAGGGGGATGAATACTTTTGCAAGGCACTGTACGACAATCTCGATCTGTACAGATGTATGATCTTAATTTGAGCCAATTTGCTACAGCAGGATAATAATTCTGCAGCAACAGGAAATGTGAATTATTATGTAGATTATAATTAATGGACATTTTTTATAGGGGTTGATAAATTTTTCGTAAGGGAAAATCAAGTCTGAAATTTCAAAGTGGAAATTACAAACTTCAGATGCCTTTTTAAACCTCAAATACAGTACCAGTTTAAAATGTCCTGCATTGCAGGAAAGTTCTCCTGTAACAGGGTGATCAAATTAAGATCTTACATCTGTACACGTAACTCAAACTTTCACATAAATCTCAAATTGACATCAACACATATTTTTATGGAAAAGTTCACATTCACTCACACAGTTTGTCAAACCGAAAATGTCAATACAATGATCAATATGTGACCTCACGTCTGCATCACTTCCTTGAATATGACATCACGTCCTTGAATATGACATCATTTCCTTGAATATGACATCACTTCCTTGCTTGCAGCTTGCCAGGAGAAGAGAGGTGAAGGGAGGAGAAGGTTCCACAGCATCACCTAGCCTGGAGAGCAGCCGGAGTCTCATTCTACTGTGGGCCAAGGAGCTCGAGCAGGTAACACGGTGAACAGGCTAACAAAACACAATAGAAGCAGTAGCATACAGTGTGAGAGAGAAGGGAGATATAAAAAAAAGAGACAGGAAAACAGAGAGAAGGAGAAGTTTAAGTGATGTCATGGTATTATTGTCTCCTAAAACAATGGAGTCACTTCCATAGGACAATATTTATATAACGACACAGGGCGAGACCCAGATGCAGACACAGGTGGCAAGAGGCAGGTCGAGGACAGGCAGAAGTTCATTAACCAGGTCAGAGTCCGAAAGGTACAGGGCGGCAAGCAGGCTGGAGGTCAGGGCAGGCTGAATGATCAGGCAGGCTGGAGGTCAGGGCAGGCTGAATGATCAGGCAGGCTGGAGGTCAGGGCAGGCAGAAAAGGTCGAAACCGGCTAGAAAAACAGAGACTAGGGAATACTGCAGCAAGACGAACTGGCAAAAAACAAACAGAAAACACTGGTATAAATACACAGGGAATAATGGGAACAAATGGGAATAAATGGGGGGGTGGAGACAAGCACAAGACAGGTGAAACAGATCAGGGTGTGACAATTTATATACATACAGTGCATTCGGAAAGTATTCAGCCTTTTTTTTTTAAAGTATTATTTCCTTTTCGTTACAGCCTTATTGTAAAATTTATTAAATTATTTATTTTTTCTCATCAATCTAGACACTATAACCCATAAATATGCTATTTCTGTATTTTTTTTCAATTGTAATTTGCAAAAATCTCTAAAAACCTGTTTTTGCTTTGTCATTATGGGGTATTATGTGTAGATTGATGAGGGAAAAAAAACAATTTAATTAATTTTAGAATAAGGCTGTAAAAGTAAAGGGATCTGAATACTTTCCGAATACACTATGTCACGCCCTGACTCAGGGGACTCGTATATGTTGAGTCAGGGTGTGTATGTTCCTTGTTGTGTTTATCCATGTTGTACATTCTAGTATGTGTAGATCTATGTTGGCCGGTGTGGTTCCCAATCAGAGGCAGCTGTCGCTCGTTGTCTCTGATTGGGGACCATACTTAGGCAGCAATTTGGCACTAGTTAGTTGTGGGATCTTGTTCCGTGTTAAAGTATGTTGTGTTGTGCTGCCTTGGACTTCACGTATCGTTTGTTTATTGTTTTGTCGTTGTGTTTATTCGTTAATAAACATGTATGCATATCACGCTGCGCCTTGATCCGTCCCGTCTATAAACGAACGTGACAGAAGATCCCACCAAACGAGGACCAAGCAGCGTGCCCAGGAAGAGCGAATAGCCATGTCACAGGTGGGTAAATTGTGGTCATGGGAAGAGATATTCGCGGGGAAAGGGCCATGGGCGAAGGTAAATGCCCAGGCAGGAGAGGAACGACGGCAACACGGAAGCCGGCCGAGGAGGAGGCCCGAGAAGCAGCCCCAATAAAAACAATTTGGGGGGGCTAAAGGGGTGGTCGGGGAGCGATAGAGAAGAGCGCCGACCACTGCACCCGGTTGGGTTTCAGATTGGGTCCCTACGACCTTGGGAAGAGGACTGGGAACAGTATTACACTGAGTCGGAGGATGACGATGACGACGAGTGTCTGTTCCCTAACTCGTGGGGGCTCCCGGAGGAGTCCTCACAGGAAGAGGAGTGCCGACGACGGAGACCCGAGAGGCAACCCCAAGGACATTTTTTGGGGGGGCACACGGTGTGGACGACGAGGCAGCAGGAGGCAGCGACAGGGCGGATCTGCAGGTTAGGAGAGGAGGCCACCATGTTACGGGGGCTATTGGTTCAGAGGGAGCAGGAGTTATTCGGTCAGAGGGAGGAGCTACAGGAGGCTAAAAGGGAGAAGGAAGGTTTAGAGGCACGGCGAGAGGAGCTGGTTAGGCAGCAAAAGGAGCAGGGGTTAATAAAGGAACCCAGTCCCACTCCTCGCACCAAGCAAATGGTGCGTGTCGCCAGTCCGGTCCGGCCCGTTCCTGCTCCCCGCACTAAGCCAGTGGTGCGTGTTCCCAGTACGGCCCGAACAGTTCCTGCTCCCCGCACTAAGCCAGTGGTGTGTGTTCCCAGTACGGTCCGGCCCGTTCCTGCTCCTCGCATCAAGCCAGTGGTGCACGTCGCCAGCCCGGTCCGGCCTGTTCCTGTCCCTCGCACCAAGCCAGTGGTGCGCGTCGCCAGCCCGGTCCGGCCTGTTCCTGCTCCTCGCACCAAGCCAGTGGTGTGTGTCGCCAGCCCGGTCCGGCCTGTTCCTGTCCATCGCACCAAGCCAGTGGTGCGTGTGTCCAGTCCGGCACAGCCCGTGCCTGTTCCACCGGTGCCTGGTCCGGCACCGGTCAGCTGCTCCACTCCGGAGCCAGAGCAGTCCGCTCCACCGGTGCCTGATCCAGCTCCGGTTAGCTGCTCCACTCCGGAGCCAGAGCAATCCGCTCCACCGGGGTCCAGTCCAGCTCCAGTCAGCGGATCCACTCCGGAGCCAGTGCAGTCCGCTCCACCGGTGCCCAGTTCAGCTCCGGTCAGCTGCTCCACTCCAGAGCCAGAGCAATCCGCTCCACCGGGGTCCAGTCCAGTTCCGGTCAGCGGCTCCACTCTGGAGCCAGAGCAGTCCGCTCCACCGGTGCCTGATCCAGCTCCAGTCAGCGGCTCCACTCCGGAGCCAGAGCAGTTCGATCCACCGTCGTCGGGTCCAGCTCCAGTCAGCGGTTCCAGTCCAGACCCAGACGTCAGCCCCTCTCCAGGTTCGGCGTCTCCCACACCAGGGTCCAGACAGGGCTTGGTACTTCGTGGGAGGAAGGAGAGGGGAAGCAGCGCGCTGAGGTCCAGACCAGACCAGGGGCGAAACAGGGAGGCGGAGAGTAAGTGGTGGTCACGCCCGGAGCCGGATCCGCCTCCGAGGCGGAATGCCCACCCGGCCCCTACCCTGTTATGTTTATGTGGCGCGGTCGGAGTCCGCACCTTTGGGGGGGGGGGGTACTGTCACGCCCTGACTCAGGGAACTCGTATATGTTGAGTCAGGGTGTGAATGTTCTATGTTGTATCTAGTATGTGTATTTCTATGTTGGCCGGTGTGGTTCCCAATCAGAGGCAGCTGTCGCTCGTTGTCTCTGATTGGGGATCATACTTAGGCAGCAAATTGGCACTAATTAGTTGTGGGATCTTGTTCCGTGTTAAGGTATGTTGTGTTGTGCTGCCTTGGACTTCACGTATCGTTTGTTTATTGTTTTGTCGTTGTGTTTATTCGTTAATAAACATGTATGCATATCACGCTGCGCCTTGATCCGTCCCGTCTATAAACGAACGTGACACACTATGTATTTTCTGTGATCAATTTCTGTGATAGATTTGGTTTGTTTGGTTGTCATTACATTAAATTACATTTCCTGACCTCACAGATGATCAGTAGTTTTGGCTGCATTCTCAGGGTCATTTACTATAAAATCACATTATTATATAAGTGATACAACTGTTGCTTTGTTCTCTCAGCTCCAGAAGACATCCACACCAACAACAGAGGTACAGATGATGAGAGGAAAGAGGGATCCAGGCGGAGGAGGGAAAGACGGAGGGTGGAAAGACAGAAGTTTGGAGAAAGAGAATCAGAGAATATTGGAATGGGCAACAGAACTGAAGAATGTCTCAGAGGTGTGTGTGTGTGTGTGTGTGTGTGAGAGAGAGCGAAATGTGCTACTGTTTATAAAGTGTGTCCACTGTATGTGAGAGTGCGAACCAAATGTGTTCCCAGGTGTGTGGGCTGTCAGATGAGGACCTGAAGCGTCTGTTGTGTCCGCGTGGGGTCAAGGAGTCTAGGCTAGCTGGCATTCTGCCATTGCTGGAGTTCGTAGCATGGTCTCTACTGTCAAATGACACTGAGGTGAGAGAAATGTATTGAATTGTGTCCGTGAGAGTGTGCACGCGTGTGTGTGTGTATGTGTGTTTGTGTGTGTGTGTGAAATACATGTTTTGACTAATTCTACCCTAGTAGATTTTCTAGGCTGCTGTAGCGATGCTGCCATATGAATATAAACACTCTGGCAATGAATCTCCCTGTCTCTCATGTCAGGAGGACGTATCAAAGCTGTGGTTGTCAACAAAACAGAGAGCATGAAGAACTGGTGAGAGCTCAATGTTGTATTCCCCATCCTGTATTCTCTCTTTCTCTTTCTCTTTCTCTTTCTCTTTCTCTTTCTCTTTCTCTTTCTCTCTCTCTCTCTCTCTTTCTCGCTCTCACGCTCTCTCTCTCTCTCTCCCCCCTCTCTCTCTCTCTCTCTCTCTCTCTCTCTCTCTGTCTCTTCCCCTCTCTCATTCGCTCTCTCTCTCACCCTCCCCCTCAATTCAATTCAAGGTGCTTTATTGGCATGGGAAACAAATAAATAATAAAAAGTGAACAGTAAATATTACACTCACACAAGTTCCAAAAGAATAAAGACATTACTAATGTAATATTATATCTATATACAGCGTTGTAACGATGTGCAAATAGTTTAAGTAAAAAAGGGAACATAAATAAACATAAATATAGGTTGTATTTACAATGGTGTTTGTTTTTCACTGGTTGCCCTTTTCTTGTGGCAACAGGTCACAAATCGTGCTGCTGTGATTACACACTGTGGTATTTCACCCAATAGATATGGGAGTTTATCAAAAATGGATTTGTTTTCGAATTCTTTGTGGGTCTGTGTTATCTGAGGGAAATATGTGTCTCTAATATGGTCATACATTTGGCAGGAGGTTAGGAAGTGCAACTCAGTTTCCACCTCATTTTGTGGGCAGTGTGCACATAGCCTGTCTTCTCTTGAGAGCCAGGTCTGCCTACGGCGACCTTTCTCAATAGCAAGGCTATGCTCGCTGAGTCTGTGCATAGTCAAAGCTTTCCTTAATTTTGGGTCAGTCACAGTGGTCAGGTATTCTGCCAATGTGTACTCTCTGTTTAGGACCAAATAGAATTCTAGTTTGCTCTGTTTTTTTGTAAATTCTTTCCAATGTGTCAAGTAATTATCTTTTTGTTTTCTTATGATTTGGTTGGGTCTAATTGTGTTGCTGTCTTGGGGCTCTGTGGGGTCTGTTTGTGTTTGTGAACAGAGCCCCAGGACCATCTTACTTAGGGGAGTCTTCTCCAAGTTAATCTCTTTGTAGGTGATGTCTTTCTTATGGAAGGTTTGGGAATCACTTCCTTTTAGGTGGTTGTAGAATTTAATGGCTCTTTTCTGGATTTTGATAATTAGCAGGTATTGGCCTAATTAAGCTCTGCATGCATTATTTGGTGTTTTACGTTGTACACAGAGGATATTGTTGTTTGACCCATTTTGTGAATTCTTGGTTGGTGAGCGGACACCAGACCTCATAACCATAAAGGGCAATGTGTTCTATAACTGATTCAAGTATGTTTAGCCAGATCCTAATTGGTATGTCAAATGTTTTGTTCCTTTTGACGGCATAGAAGGCCCTTCTTGCCTTGTCTCTAAGATCGTTCACAGCTTTGTGGAAGTTACCTGTGGCGCTGATGTTTAGGCCGAGGTATGTATCGTTTTTTTGTGTGCTCTAGGGCAACAGTGTCTAGATGGAATTTGTATTTGTGGTCCTGGCAACTGGACCTTTTTTGGAAAACCATTATATTTGTCTTACTGAAATTTACTGTCAGGTTCCAGGTCTGACAGAATCTGTGCAGAAGATCTATGTGCTGTTGTAGGCCCTTCTCTCTCTCTCTCTCTCTCCCTCCCTCTCCCCCTCTCTCTCTCCCCCTCTCTCTCTCTCGCTCTCTCTCTCTCGCTCTCTCTTTCTCTTTCCCTCACCCAGTTATTATTGCACTAATCTGTTCTTCTCATTGCAAATAGGAAGCCAAAAGTACATCCCTAATTCTGTATGGCAATGGATTCACAGCGCTTCAGGTAGGAAGAAAGAAGAATGAACATTTATCACAATAACACATTACATTACATTGAAATCATGCTGACACATAGTGCATGCAAGTGCAGCTACTGTTGATTTTCATTGTTCAATCAATTAAGAATCACTTAATTAATTAAACATTGAGTAATGATTTTGAGAAGAAAAAAACCTCTCATGCCTCACTCTCTCCACCTCTCTCCATCCCTCTCTCCAACCCTTTCTCCACCTCTCTCTCCACCTCTCTCTCCACCTCTCTCTCCATCCCTCTCTCCACCTCTCTCCATCCCTCTCTCCACCTCTCTCTCCATCCCTCTCCACCTCTCTCCATCCCTCTCTCCATCCCTCTCTCCATCCCTCCCTCCACCTCTCCCTCCACCTCTCTCCATCCCTCTCTCCACCTCTCTCCATCTCTCTCCACCCTCCACTTCTCTCTCCCTCTACCTCCACCTTTCTCCACCTCCGCAGCCCAAGTGCGTCTGGAACCCCTCACCAGCCACCCCTGGCTGGCCTTCTCAGATGACAACCTTGAGGTGTGGGAGGGCCCCCAGAGGGGCGACACCAGAAACTATCCCCTCCGCTTTGACATCTGGTCCTGCGTTCTGGGATGCCAGGTAGGGGGATGAGTTTGATTAATCAATTGAATTAGGAAATTAGAAATTGAAAAGAACAAAGTTAAGTGATATTTTCCATTGCTGGACAGAGATATGAGTTTAAGTAAAGAAGATTCTGTTTTGATTGCATATACACTACCGTTCAAAGTTTGGGGTCACTTAGAAATGTCCTTGTTTTTGAAAGAAAAGCAATGTTTTTCTCCATTAAAATAACATCAAATTGATCAGAAATACAGTGTAGACATTGTTAATGTTGTAAATGGCTATTGTAGCTGGAAACGGCTGATTTTTTATGGAATATCTACATAGGCGTATGGAGGCCAATTATCAGCAACCATCAGTCCTGTGTTCCACTGGCACGTTGTGTTTGCTAATCTAAGTTTATAATTTTAAAAGGCTAATTGATCATTAGAAAACCCTTTTGCAATTATGTTAGCACAGCTGAAAACTTTTGTGCTGATTAAAGAAGCAATAAAACTGGCCTTCTTAAAGACTAGTTGAGTATCTGGAGAATCAGCAATTGTGGGTTCAATTACAGAATCAAAATGGCCAGAAACAAATAACTTTCTTCTGAAACTCGCCAGTCTATTCTTGTTCTGAGAAATGAAGGCTATTCCATGTGAGAAAATTGCCAAGAAACTGAAGATCTCGTACAACGCTGTGTACTACTCTACTCCCCTTCACAGAACAGCGCAAACTGGGCTATAACCAGAATAGAAAGAGGAGTGGGAGGCCCCGGTGCACAACTGAGCAAGAGGACAAATACATTAGAGTGTTTAGTTTGAGAAACAGACACCTCACAGGTCCTCAACTGGCAGCTTCATTAAATAGTAACCGCAAAACACCAGTCTCAATGTCAACAGTGAAGAGGCGACTCCGGGATGCTGACCTTCTAGGCAGAGTTGCAAAGAAAAAGCCCCCCGAGAAAAGATTGAGCTTGGATAGGCAGAGAAGAAAAAAGCCATTCTCAGACTGGACAATAAAAATAAAAGACTAAGATGGGGCAAAAGAACACAGACACTGGACAGAGGAAGATTGAAAAAAAGTGTTATGGTCAGACAAATCGAAGTTTGAGGTGTTCGGATCACAAAGAAGAACATTTGTGAGATGCAGACCAAATGAAAAGATGCTGGAGGAGTGCTTGATGCCATCTGTCAAGCATGGTGGAGGCAATGTGGTGGTCTGGGGGTGCTTTGGTAGTTGTAAAGTGGGAGATTTGTACAGGATAAAAGTGATCTTGAAGAAGGAAGGCTATCACTCCATTTTGCAACGCCATGCCATACCCTGTGGACAGCGCTTGATTGGAGCCAATTTCCTCCTACAACAGGACAATGACCCAAATTACAGCTCCAAACTATACAAAAACTATTTAAGGAAGAAGCAGTCAGCTGGTATTCTGTCTATAATGGAGTGGCCAGCACAGTCACCGGATCTCAACCCTATTGAGCTGTTGTGGGAGCAGCTTGACCGTATGCTACGTAAGAAGTTCCCATCAAGCCAATCCAACTTGTGGGAGGTGCTTCAGGAAGCATGGGGTGAAATCTCTTCAGATGACCTCAACAAATTGACAACTGGAATGCCAAATGTCTGCAAGGCTGTAATTGCTGCAAATTGAGGATTCTTTGACGAAAGCAAAGTTTGAAGGACACAATTAATATTTATATTAAAAATCATTATTTCTAACCTTGTCAATAACTACATTTCCTATGCATTTTGCTATATTTCCTATTCAAACTCATTTCACGTATGTTTTCATGTAAAACAAGGACATTTCTAAGTGACCCCAAACTTTCGAACGGTAGTGTATGTGTGGTTTTTCTCATGTAGTATTCACACGTACATCATACATTATTTTGTAGAGAAAACTCTGATTTATTCGTAATATTTTTTGGGTTGATAAATAATTTGATCGGCCCTAGCAACCATCAACTAATCGATTGTGAAAAACTTGTGTTGAATGACTCTCCTCTACTACAAGGCCATCAACACAGGAAGGCACTACTGGGAAGTAGAGTTATCCAGCACAGGCAGCTGGAGACTGGGGGTGACATCTGTAACTGCACCCCGTAAAGGTCGGTTCCCCATGACCCCAGCGACGGGCTACTGGACCCTGTGGAGGAGCGCCCAGAACACCCTGTGGGCCTGTTGTGATGACTCCTCGACCAAGCTACCTGTCTCAGCCCTGCCACGCCTAGTAGGTGTCTACCTGGACTTCGAGGAGGGCCAGGTTTCCTTCTATGATGTAGAGAATAGGTATCATATCTATACGTTCACTGATACGTTTAAGGAGAGGGTGGTTCCTGTGTTCGGCTGTCTGGATGGGGATACGAAGATCAGGATTGTGCCACGGATGTCTGGTGTTAGATAAAGCTGCAATGTGATCTAGATGGATTTGTTACGCAATGTTTTTTGTAACTCATTTTACATCACCTGCCAGAATATGTCAGAAAAATGGAAAATCACTGTTTGTCTCTTGAGACAGATTCTCTTGAATTACAACAAACATTTTTCCTGTTTCACTGCACCTTTTCTAATGATATTACAATTTGAACACAATAAACAGAAAACTATGACAAACTGTTTATTTGTTAATTTGAGATACCATCATGATAAAGGGGTCAATTATTTAAACATCAGCGGCAGCAAGCCAAAACTGTGCTACAGCAAGATCCGGAACGGTAGTCTCTGTTAATGTTTCCGTCTAGCGTGGGGGGAACAGTTATTATGCGCACACTGCTATGGCACGTCATATTTCCATAATGGCTACCCCTATGATGGAAGAACTTCCCAAGACCTCTGTGTTGGACCCACTGAAGGGTCTCCTGCTGACCTATTTCATGCCAGAATCATGTTACGACGAGTTTTTCCTCAATTTTAACTTTCTGGATGGTAAGTAAAGTTTTTGCGCAGTTTGGTGACGTTTAATTTCAAGAGCTAACTTAGCTAGCCAGGTCTTCAATGGATGAGCTAATGCTAGCTACCTAACTTGCAAAGACATTCGTTTTTGCTCGATATTTCACAATGTGTAACTTGTATCTTATCTTTTGCGATGAGAGGTACTGAATATAAAGAAAGATATTGGACGGAATGTACGTAGGGAGCTATCTAACCCGCTAAAAGAGTTAAAAATACAGAACAGGGACTATAGGGTAGTTTTGTTGTGACAGCGTTCAGAGGTGGGGCGATCCACAGGGCATCACATGATTGGTTGTATGAAGTTCCTCATTGGTTAGCGCCACTGTCCCAATCCATCTCAGTTCCTCAATAACGATAGATCGGAGAGTGTCATATCTCTCTGTTCTCTCTGTTAATACCCGTTTAATGATTGTTTGTTTCTGTCTGTAGTACCATGTCTGAAGATTGTGCTGAGCAAAGGTCTGGGCATTGGAATCATCTTGGGGTCTATGATGGGTAAGACTAAGATTATCTCTCTCTGTGTCCTTTTCTCTCTCTCAATCCCTCTCGTTCTCTCTTTGTCTCTCTCTTTCTCTTCCTATCTTTGCCTGTCCAAAGCATAACACCCTCTGCCTTTCTCTCATACAGATGGAGAGATATTCACAATAGTCATTAAGGACAAATTTAGATAATAAATTTACATTTACATTTACATTTTAGTCATTTAGCAGACGCTCTTAACCAGAGCGACTTACAGGAGCAATTAGGGTTAAGTGCCTTGCTCAAGGGCACATTAACGTCATTTAGCAGACGCTCTTAGCCAGAGCGACTCACAAATTGGTGCGTTCACCCTATAGCCAGTGGGATAACCACTTTAAAATTTTGGGGGGGGGGGGGGGGGGGGGTTAGAAGGAATACTTTATCCTATCCCAGGTATTCCTTAAAGAGGTGGGGTTTCAAATGTCTCCGGAAGGTGGTGAGTGACTCCGCTGTCCTGGCGTCGTGAGGGAGCTTGTTCCACCATTGGGGTGCCAGAGCAGCGAACAGTTTTGACTGGGATAAATGTAACCCATATCTCCCTCCTCCCCCCTCCCCCTCCCTCCCTCTCTCTCTCTCTCTCTCTCTCTTTCTCCTTCTCTCCCCCCCTCCTACAGTGAAGCTGCCCCAGATCCTGAAGCTGATGGGGGCTAAGAGTGCCGAGGGTCTGAGCTTCAATTCTGTCCTGCTGGAGCTGCTGGCTATCACAGGAACCATGAGCTATAGCATCGCTAACAGCTTCCCCTTCAGGTACTGTGGTAGAGTTGTACAGACAGACAGACAGAGACAGAGACATGGACATAGACATGCACAGACAGACAGACATATGCACAGATGGACAGGCAGAGAGACACACACCAGTTAACATATTTGGTGTTTTCTCCTTCAGTGCCTGGGGTGAGGCCCTGTTCCTCATGTTACAGACTGTAGCCATCGGGTTCCTCATCATGCACTATGGCGGCAACACAGTCAAAGGTAAGACACACACCTACCCGACGTGAGGACTGACGCTCACTAGTAACACTGCCTCTTGAGATTTACAATGTAGAATGTGACGTTAGCATAAGACTTGCTGCCATCATAATCAGTGGTTGTTGTTGTCCTCCCCCCCTAGGTGTCCTGTTTCTGGGGGTGTATTTTGGCCTGGTGGCTCTGCTGCTCTCCCCCTTCACCCCCATGTCTGTGGTCATGGCCATGCAGGCCTCCAACATGCCAGCTATCATCATCGGCAGGGTACGTGGAGCGTTCACTAAGCAATAGGGCCTGAGGAGGTGTCGTGTATTAGGTTTTATTAAATATTTAACATCATTGGCGTGTTATAACATAACAACATTGTTATAACACTGTTCGAGGACCACATTGGATAATACGTGTATTTAACATTTTCATGTGTTCTCCTCTGGGATTCCAGCCTGGGTACCAGTCTGTTTAGCTAACAGTCCTCTAGCCTGGGTACCAGTCTGTTTAGCTAACAGTCCTCTAGCCTGGGTACCAGTCTGTTTAGCTAACAGTCCTCTAGCCTGGGTACCAGTCTGTTTAGCTAACAGTCCTCTAGCCTGGGTACCAGTCTGTTTAGCTAACAGTCCTCTAGCCTGGGGTACCAGTCTGTTTAGCTAACAGTCCTCTAGCCTGGGTACCAGTCTGTTTAGCTAACAGTCCTCTAGCCTGGGTACCAGTCTGTTTAGCTAACAGTCCTCTAGCCTGGGTACCAGTCTGTTTAGCTAACATTCCTCTATCCTGGTTACCAGTCTGTTTAGCTAACAGTCCTCTAGCCTGGGTACTAGTCTGTTTAGCTAACATCCCTCTAGCCTGGGTACCAGTCTGTTTAGCTAACAGTCCTCTAGCCTGGGTACCAGTCTGTTTAGCTAACATTCCTCTAGCCTGGGTACCAGTCTGTTTAGCTAACATTCCTCTAGCCTGGGTGCCAGTCGTTTGCTCTCTGGCACATGACACAGAGTACAAGGAGTGTAATATTAGCTAAACAGACTGGTACCCAGGCTACTAGGGTTTCTTTGCACTTTTAAATTGTTGAAACTGTAAAAATTACCCCAAAATAAATCAATAAAATATAATATTGTATTATAAGTTATCATCATTTATACAGCGGGTGGGTCTAATCCTGAATGCTGATTGGTTAAAACTGTTGGTAACCCGTTGTATAAAAGTGATAATGCCCTCGAAGTCGGTGTTTGGAGGATGTATTGGACATTGTCTCGGGCCTAACAACACCTGTGCCAATATATCCTCCCAACACCGGCTTCTCTGGTATTATCACCATTTAACACAATGTGATAATGTGTGTTTCTCCCTGTCATTACAGCTGATACAGGTAGTGACTAACTATGGGAACGGACACACAGGTCAGCTGTCTGCCATCACTGTGTTGATGCTGTTCGCAGGCTCCCTGGCTCGCATATTCACCTCAATACAGGTATGTGTGAATGTACATTTTACGTTACATTTACATTTGAGCCATTTAGCAGATGCTCTTATCCAGAGCGGCTTACAGTGTTTGTGTGTGTGTGTGTGTGTGTGTGTGTGTGTGTGTGTGTGTGTGTGTGTGTGTGAGTGTGAGAGAGAAATATGTTTACTGTGTATAAAGTGTGTCCACTGTATGTGAGAGTGTATATGTGTCCCAAATGGAACCCAATTCTCTATAGTGCACTACATTTGACCACAGCCCCTATTGTGCCTGGTCAAAAGGAGTGTAGTCTAAAGGGAAAAGTAATCTTCTTTACACTCAGCTCAAGGTTTAGGTCAGGGTCAAAGAAGACACCAAGGTTTCTGGCCGTAGGCTTTACATTGGTGGTGAAATTACCAAAGTTCTTTCCAATCTGGGTTCTATCAAGGTGAGGGGCCAAGTAAACCAACCTCTTTAAAATGTGTCCACTGTATGTCAGAGTGTGTATATGCATCCCAAATATGTATATGGACCCTGGTCAAAAGGAGTGCACTCTAAAGGGAAAAGGGTGCCATTTGGGACACAGTCTGTGTGTGATCCTGTCCTAATCCAACATAAACTCTACTTCCTGGTTTCTCTCTGTAAACAGGAAACAGGTGACTCCTTGATGGCCCTGACCTATGTCATATCCTCTTCCTGTAACGGCCTCATCGCTGCCCAGCTCCTGTACTACTGGAACAGCAGCCCGGCGCTGAAGAAGAAGACGGAGTAGACACACAGACTGGTGGACATGAAGACAGTCTGAAATGGGAACCTCGTTTTCAAGCAGTGTACTATATAGAGAATAGGATGCCATTCAAGATGCTGACAGTGACAGAGAGATTATATAGACAATGTGTATGGATCTAAAATGGCACCCTATACCTATGTAGTTCACTACTTTTGACAGGACTATTGGCTCTGGTCAAAAGTAACACCCTATTCCCTATATAGTGCACTACTTTTGACCAGAACCCTACTAGTGCACTATATGGGGTGTTATTTGAGATGTGCCCAATACAAACACTCTGCTGTCCCCTACTACAGCCTAGCCCTGGACCAAATCACTTTCTATTCCCACTACCCAAACCAAGCTTTCGCCCAGTTAGAATAGCTCACAGAGAAATCTCCCACGTTTTACATCAGTGATTTAGCTCAGGGAAGGAAGGCTTGACCCTCTTGTTAGTCCATCCTAAACACTGATTCTACTAGATGGAAGTGGTCTGTTGTTTCTTTATACTTCCCCAACAATGCATTCCATTGTTCCAGTAATATTACATGTGTTGTTCTCGGAACAGACTCTAGAATGAGAAAACATTCTAGAACACAACCAGGAAGTTGGCTAATAGCTGTAATCAATGGGTCAAGCAATAGAGAAGTATACTGTGAAATTCTGTTCTTATGTTTGAGAAAAATGTTTGATTTTCTTTATGAAGGTTAGGTAGTTGGAGCTTTGTGGCCTGAGTGCGAGCAAAGAGGTCTAGGGTGAAGTTGCCCCTAGATGCTGATCTTAGTCCAGTTCCCTAGGGGGGACGTCAGCAAGCAATCAAAATAACTGTACTGAACCAAACGGTTATTAGTCCAAAATGCAGTTGCACCTTTTCAGTTTTTTCGGTTTGTTTCTTTGTAAGTAAGATCTGTAGTTAAATAATTCAAATTGGATCCAGATTAAAACTGGGAGCAGAAATGTGGTAGCGTTGTAGTGTAATGTTGAAGTCCAATTTCTCTGTATAGTTTTAGTTTAGCTGTTGAGATTGAACTTCTGAATCATGTTATGGTGCTGCTTGGGGGTTGTATACCAGAGCTACAGTTCTGAAGATGGTAAGAGAGTTGATTTTTAAATACGAAAATATAATTAAACATGTTCTGTTTTTGTTGGGACTGCTCCAGCGTGCCTGTCGTTGTCAGTCTTATATCTAGAAGATTTGTGTGTGGTACACTTTCACACCACTAGACAGAGACAAACTTTCACCCATTATTTTGTACATACACTTAGTTCTCTCAAAGTAGAGGCATGAAGATCTTGTTCTCTGTTGCTGCCTAGACTCTTTCATAACTTTTTAGCTTTTAATCAGTGAGTAATAAATATGTTATATAGATTAATTTGTCTCTGTTTATACTCTCTTACTCTTTATTATCACGTTTCTCCCTTTCTCTTGTGATGTCATCCGTCCTCTTTATCTCATGCCCTCTTTACCATAGAATTTTTAACAGTCTGTCCATCAATCGCCTTCTTTTAACTTTATCCCCCCCCCCCCCCCCCCCGCCCCTATTGAATAGACCCTTCCCCCCTTCTCTCTCTTCCTCCCTCTCTTTTTTCCAGTCCCTGACAGCAAATTACCCACCCTCCAACAGACCCCCCCTGTGTCTGTGTATGGTTCCAACAGCCCCCTGACTCTCTGTCCTCCATCACACTGACATCATCAACAACCCCGGCAACCAAAAAGTCCCACAATTCTGAACAAATTTGGGACAACAGAGGTTTCTTAAAAATCAAACCAAAACGCACTTTTTGCGATCAGCGGTTTCCAACAGTGAATTCAACTTGACAGAGGGGTTGTTGCGGAGGATTATCTGTAAAATACACTCTACTTCCACAGTAAGCTACTCCACACCACAACAGTTGTGATTACATATTACTGAATCTCTCTCAATTCAATTCAAGGGGCTTTATTGGCATGGGAAACATGTTTACATGCTCTCTCTTGCTCGCTCTCTCTCTCTCTTTCTCTCTCTCTTGCTCGCTCTCTCTCTTTCAATTTCAATTTAAGGGCTTTATTGGCATGGGAAACGTATGTTAACATTGCCAAAGCAAGTGAAGTAGATAGTAAACAAAAGTGAAATAAACAATAAATATTAACAGTAAACATTACACTCAGAAGTTTCAAAAGAATAAAGACATTTCAAATGTCATATTATGTGTATATATACAGTGTTGTAACAATGTGCAAATAGTTAAAGTACAAATGGGAAAATAAATAAACATAAATATGGGTTGTATTTACAATGGTGTTTGTTCTTCACTGGTTGCCCTTTTCTTGTGGCAACAGGTCACAAATCTTGCAGCTGTGATGGCACACTGTGGTTTTTCACCCAGTAGATAAGGGAGTTTATCAAAATTGGGTTTGTTTTCAAATTCTTTGTGGATCGCTGTAATCTGAGGGAAATATGTGTCTCTAATATGGTCATACATTTGGCAGGAGGTTAGGAAGTGCAGCTCAGTTTCCACCTCATTTTGTGGGCAGTGTGCACATAGCCTGTCTTCTCTTGAGAGCCAGGTCTGCCTATGGCGGCCTTTCTCAATAGCAAGGCTATGCTCACTGAGTCTGTACATAGTCAAAGCTTTCCTTGAGTTTGGGTCAGTCACAGTGGTCAGGTATTCTGCCACTGTGTACTCTCTGTTTAGGGCCAAATAGCATTCTAGTTTGCTCTGTTTTTTTTGTTTGTTCTTTCCAATGTGTCAAGTAATTCTCTTTTTGTTTTCTCATGATTTGGTTGGGTCTAATTGTGTTGCTGTCTTGGGGCTCTGTGGGGTCTGTTTGTGTTTGTGAACAGAGCCCCAGGACCAGCTTACTTAGGGGAGTCTTCTCCAAGTTCATCTCTCTGTAGGTGATGGCTTTGTTATGGAATTTTGTGAATTATTTTTGTGAATTCTTGGTTGGTGAGCGGACCCCAGACCTCACAACCATAAAGGGCAATGGGTTCTATAACCATGACGGACCCTCCACCTCCAAATCGATCCCGCTCCAGAGTACAGGCCTCGATAAATGCGAATCCGACCATCACCACTGGTGAGAGAAAACCGTGACTCGTCAGTGAAGAGCACTTTTTGCCAGTCCTGTCTGGTCCAGCGACGGTGGGTTTGTGCCCATAGGCGACATTGTTGCCGGTGATGTCTGGTGAGGACCTGCCTTACAACAGGCCTACAAGCCCTCAGTCCAGCCTCTCTCAGCCTATTGCAGACAGTCTGAGCACTGATGGAGGAATTGTGCGTTCCTGGTGTAACTCGGGCAGTTGTTGTCATCCTGTACCTGTCCCGCAGGTGTGATGTTCAGATGTACCGATCCTGTACAGGTGTTGTTACACGTGGTCTGCCACTGCGAGGACGATCAGCTGTCCGTCCTGTCTCCCTGTAGTGCTGTCTTAGGCATCTCACAGTACGGACATTGCAATGTATTGCCCTGGCCACATCTGCAGTCCTCATGCCTCCTTGCAGCATGCCTAAGGCACGTTCACGCAGATGAGCAGGGACCTTGGGCATCTTTCTTTTGGTGTTTTTCAGAGTCAGTAGAAAGGCCTCTTTAGTGACCTAAGTTTTCATAACTGTGATCTTAAATACCTACCGTCTGTAATCTGTTAGTGTCTTAACGACCGTTCCACAGGTGCATGTTCATTAATTGTTTATGGTTTATTGAACAAGCATGGGAAACAGTGTTTAAACCCTTTACAATGAAGATCTGTGAAGTTATTTGGATTTTTACGAATTATCTTTGAAAGACAGGGTCCTGAAATAGGAACGTTTCTTTTTTTACTGAGTTTATTATTGACATTACATAGCACTTTTCACTGGCTGTCCCTCAGGTTGTGGCAGGAGGACACATATTTGGCTGCCAAAACTGCACATTTTGGCTTATAGTTTCAAATTCTTTGTACTGAATGATAATTTTGTGAAATAAATATTCTCTTAGGTCTGAGTATGAGCTCTCTCTCTCTCTCTCTCTCTCTCTCTCTCTCTCTCTCTCTCTCTCTCTCTCTCTCTCTTTCTCTCTCTCTCTCTCTCTTTCTCTCTCTTTTTCTCTCTTTCTCTCTCTTGCTCTCTCGCTCTCGCTCTCTTTCTCTCTCGCTCTCTCTCTTTCTCTCTCGCTTTCTCTCTCTTGCTCCCTCGCTTTCTCTCTCTCGCTCTCTCTCTCGCTCTCTCTCGCTTTCTCTCGCTCTCTCTCTTGCTTTCTTTCTCTCTTGCTCTCTCTCTCTTGCTCTCTCTCTCTCGCTCTCTCTCTCATTCCACTGTGCTTGAGACTTGTCTGTGGTTCATACACACACTAATGTGTCGGCCAATCTTTATCTACCTGCTGATCGCTAGGCCTGCATTTCCCATCTCCCCTTATCTGGCCATCTGTGGATGACCCTATCTCTGGCAGAACCTGGCGAAACACGCCATTGCCCCACCTCAGCGGGGGTGTTTTGGTGAATACCTTAGCTAGCTGATAAGAGTAAAGCCCTTTCATCTTCCCAATGGTTTAGTCACAGGATTAAGATTAAGTGTAGCAAACTTTTCCTCTCGTTTATCCTATAATCACAAAAATGTATGTTTGCACCAGCTGTTTCAGTTCGAACACACACGCAAACAAAAACATATATGCATACATTATAACAAAAAATTACTTTTCTCCCACCAACCATTCTCAGCCCCCCCCCCCCCCCCCCCCCCCCCCTCTCTCTCAGACCTGTCAAACTCTCCCGCCCCCTCTCTCTCCCGCCCCCTCTCGCATTATTTTGTATTTTATGTTGTACACTGAGGATAGTATTCTGCATGCAGAGTCTCAATTTGGTGTTTGTCCCATTTTGTGAATTATTGGTTGGTGAGTGGACCCCAGTCCTCACAACTATAGAGGGCAATGGGTTCTATAACTCATTGAAGTATTTTTTTGCCAGATCCTAATTGGTATGTCAGATTTGATGTTCCTTTTGATGGCATAGAAGGCCCTTCTTGCCTTGTCTCTCAGATCGTTCACAGCTTTGTGGAAGTTACCTGTGGCGCTGATGTTTAGGCCGAGGTATGTATAGTTTTTTGTGTGCTCTAGGGCAACGGTGTCTAGATGGAATTTGTATTTGTGGTCCTGGCAACTGCACGTTTTTTGGAGCACCATTATTTTTGTCATACTGAGATTTACTGTCAGGGCCCAGGTCTGACAGAATCTGTGCAGAAGATCTAGGTGCTGCTGTAGGCCCTCCTTGGATGGGGACAGAAGCACCAGATCATCAGCAAACAGTAGACATTTGACT